TTGTGATTCTTGATGGCAGCGAGCGCCCGCGGCCGCGGGTACGTGGATTTGCAAGTGCCATTGAGAATCGCGTCGGTAGCTGGAAGGGACTCGGGCTCGGGGAGCGGGACGCTCTTGGGGTAGAACTCAGTCAGGCAGCCGCCGCGGACGGTGTAGTACTTGTTTTTGTCGCGGGCGGTGCGCTTCTCGCACACCTCCTTCCAGTCCGAGAGGGCGGACTCGTAGGTGGCGATAGCTGCGGCGATGGCGGGGTACTTGGACGCACCTCCCTCGTCGAGGGCGAAGTCGGGGTTGTGGGCGACGAGGGTGCGCCAGTTCTTGAGGAGCGACATGGAGAAGTCGCTGTCGGCTCGCGAGAAGGCGGTGTCGATGTTGCACCCGCGCCCATCTCGGTCGGCAGCTGCGCCTGGAGCAACGCGAGGTCGCGGAGCGCCTGGGGCGAGGCGTCGGCGCGAGCAATGCTCTCAAAGGACTTGCGGATGCGGTTGTGCGCAAACTCGAGAGCCTCGCACGCGACATTGCTCATTGGGCGGCGTGATGCAGCAACAATACACGTCATTTGTTCACGCGCGCGCGAGACGTGCAGAGCAAGGGTTGCTGTGTGTCGCTCTTCTTCTCTTGTCGCTCGCGCGTGTCGTCGTCTTCTGTCTCGCGTCCACCCATACCGATGGGGTCGAGTCCGAGCCCTACATCGTACCTTACCCCGCAAAGAGCTCCGAACCCTCGACTAGACGCCGTGTGAGTGAGTGAGTATTCTTGATACGAAACCACGACGACACACACCAGTCGACTCGCATCGGTTGCCTCCATGAACGGCGGAGCTATTCTCGCGCCCACACCACACCTGGCTCCAACGTGGACACGCCCATAGCTGGGGACACTACTAGGTCACGCATGGCATCACAGAAGTTTTGTCTCTGGGCCCCGAAAGGCATCTCTAGAGCAGTGTCGTTACGCATGCCCCCTCCCCTCCTGGGCGCATGCGCCTCACGTCTCGCCAGAGCATACGCCCTTGGTGTGCGGCGAGACGAGTTTTTCGCCATGCAGCGAGCAGCAAGCCGCCCGCCGCAAACAGCCGGAGGCATCGCCACGGCACTGACTGCGCCGCGCTCCCGCACCCGTCGACGAAGCTCCCCCCGCGGAAGACCGCGCGTAGCGACGCCTTGTCGATCGAGATGAGCGCGCTCGAGGCTCGCCCACCTACTGCCCCTGAGAGTTGGTTATGAGTGGGATCAGCTCCCCCCCTTGGGATCGAAGCCGCCACAACCTCACACCCAACATCACAGGTGGGATCAGAGAGAGACTCCACACCGGACACCGCCCGGGCACAGACTCCCTACCCATCGGATCGCACAGGGCCCCCTCGGAGCAGCCCACACACAATCTCGCATCGGCAGATTGCGCCTGAGTCAGGCAGACAGCAGACAAGGAGAGGAGAGAGGAGAGAGAGAGAGAGAGGAGAGAGAGAGGAGAGGGTGAGGGTGTGTGCACACGTGTGGAGAGGGAGGGTGTCTGTGGTGGGCTGTAGTCATACTACGTGGTTAAAACCACGCGCCCCTCAGGAGCTAAGGTAGAGTGTTGGGTGCACACACACACACACACTAGACGCCCTTACCTCGACTGCCATCGCGGAACAACCCAACCCGGGCCAACAACCCAACCCAACCCAAAAAGCACGATTCTGAAGTTGGGCCCTCAGTGAGTGAGCCGACCTAGCTGCCACAGGGAAGGAGCGCCATCACCTACCGGATTCGCATTCCCACCGGGCACGGCCTTTCGGTTGGATGGGACGGTGCGTGTCGTGCCCCCCTCGATACTGGGTGGGCAGTCTCCCATCCGTTTCACCAATGCGGCTCATTCACTTGAGAATCTTACAACCAAACTCCCTCGCATCACTTGAGAAACAAGGGGAACACGCAGCGCGTGCGTCCTTTCGCCCCGCACGTCTCCACACAACGCTGCCTCAAGGTCCGACCCTAGTGCGGGCGGACCCTCACAGCTCACAGCTCACATCATGGCCACTGTGCACGCCCCGCCGAGGTTCTGTATCGCCGGGATCCGGCACCCGACCGGCCAAGTCTGCTGCAATACTTCGTGCAGACTGTGCGGTGGCCACGGATGCTCCTCTGCACCTGGCGGTCCTCGACAGTGCTGCATGCCCGCGATCCTGCGTCAGCGGCGGGTGTGCCAGTCCGGTACAGACGTGGCCTGTGCCATTCCCGGGTCGGTGCAGACCTCGATGTCCACGTGTGCCGTGTGCTTCTCCGGCTTCTTCTCACCAGCCTCCTTACCGGACCGGGGCGCGAGCATCTCCACTCATTTGCTGAGGCCTCTTGGAGCCGAGGCACACCTTGCACTCACCACCCAAGCAGGTAGCACAGTCACCTCGGCTGTGCGTGCTGACATACTCGATGGGCTGTCGCAGCTGCAACCGATCGCATCGATATAGGTGACTCCCGAGCCATCGATAGGCTGGTTTGTCCGCAAGCTGGAGGGCACCCCACACTGGGTGCAGATTGTGGAGCTGTTCAACCAAACGAGCCGCGGGCAGCCGGGCTCAGGATGCACGCGGGACGAGCGCATGGAGATCACCAACCAGTCTTCGAAAAGCCCTTACTCGTGTCACGTTCGGCGCATTGTATTAACCCGAAATGTGGAGAACGTCTACCTTGGGCCACTCATAGGAAAGTCGACGGAGCACAACCTACCCAAATTGCTGGCGCTACACAGCTGCATCGAGCAACTCGTCCGCCACGAAGAGCACGTGCGCCGAGGCATACGCTACGAGCAAGTGGTGCATTCGCGGCTCGACCGTGTGTGGATTGCCTCCCACCCTCCGGTGGCCGTTCTCGATCCCAAATACGTGTGGATCCCAGGGGGTCAAGACTACCAAAGAGGCGTGTGCGACCGGCACGCGTTCATGAACAGGTCGTCGGCCCATGTCTACTTTCGGCGATGGGACTTCCTCCTTGACGGGCGAGTCATGCGCATTGACAGCCAGTTTGCATCAGGGCGGCTGAATTCAATGCTACAGATGAACGATGAGAACTACCTTGCTGACAGTCTCGCATTCTACCGCCTTCCGATCCGTCGCTTCCCGAGCGCCTCCTTCTTGGGTTGCTGCCCGCCTTCGCTCCATTCGTGCTTCCGTAGCCGATGCCTTCAACTGCAAGGGCTGCGATTGCCGAGGAAGGCACAGGGACTGTGCGCGGCGAGCGCCGTTAACGAGACATTCAGCCCTCCTGTGGGTGGTTCCCGTCTGCTGCGAGTCGGTGCCAAACTCGGAATAGGACGCAACCACTTGTTGGCCGCTCCAGATGAATGCGAAAGGCACGTTGGCACAAATGATCCGGCTGCGCTGGTGGCGGCGGCGCTAGCGAACAACTACTCAATCGCCGGCAAGTACCACATGGAGATGCACTGGGGCGTGCAGATAGCGTTCCTGCTCGAGTTTCCAAGTACGAAATGGGTAACCGTTGCTGTGGCAGAGCCCAAGCACTGGCCACGAGTAGGTCTCGGAGGGGTCGGCTTGCGAATCGATGCGCGGACGCACGCCACGCTCATGAAGGTTGTGGAACTCATCGTGCCATGGTCGCCTCCACTCTTTTGCACAAATGCCACGACGAGTGAGACGGTAGCAGAAGAAGAATACTTCACATGTGGCACGGTAGACCGTTAAAGCATACACTTGTATGTTTGTACTTGTGCACTCTCTCCACCCGGCCATTCCAACGGCCAGGCCGCTCGCTTAAGGCTGATTGGCTAGACGAGCGGCCTACCTCCAACGGGGCGGTCTGGATCACGGGGGATGACATCCTGCCTCCCGGCACGCCGGGAGGAGGTGGGTGCTCCGCCGCCGGACCGCCCTCTCCACCACCCTCGCCCAGGGATCTACAATGCTGTCTCAAGGTCCGACCTGTGGGCTCCGGCCTGCGCTCGGCACCGGGCACCGCCTGCG